TTTTCTTTTTGCTTATGTGGTGCTGAGGAATTGAACCCAGGGCCTCAGGCATGCAAGGCAAGCACTCTACCACTGAGCCACCTTCCCAGGCCTAAAAATACTATTTATAAGACCATAATACTGTAAATATCGAATATTACTCTAATAAAAAGTACAATTACTTTTAGGAGATCATGGAAATGAGAAAGGTACAGATAAAAATCATGAAGGGAAGGATGAGATGGTTCATTTTTCATGATAAAACATCCACAGAAATAAGAAAAGAGAAGATGAAAGACTATTTACAGATTACTATTTAATTCTTTAAAAATTATGTGCCTAGCACTGGGCAAGGTGTTACAAGCCTATTCCAGCACTCAGGAGGCTGAGGCAAGAGAATTGAGTTCAAGAAAACATAATGGGACCACATATGAAAACTATTACAACACCACCACCAACCAAAAGAAAAGCCTATGTTAAATCTAATTTAAATTGAAAATAACTTACAGATCTGTTATTTTAACTGTAAAATCAGAAAAATATTAGCACTTACTTCAATACCATCAAATTCAAATTTTATAACAGGTACAAAAGCATCTTCAACAGCCTGTGAAAGAGGAAAACAATTATAACAATTATTGCCTAACTACAAACAATGTGAATATACTTGTTCCAGTTTATATTTTAACTCAATAAAAAGTGAAAATGTCAACATTGTTAGGATAAGGCGCTTAATTTTGTAATCTTAATTAGTCAAAAAATACAAAGTAACTACGACAGTAGTTATCTTGACATCCTAAAATATTTTGTTGGAAATTGGAAGGCAGAATTGCTATCATCTAGGTACGTAAAACTGATATCACAATTAACCTGGGTATAAAAATTAAAGACAATAGTACTCACGACTAATCTATCAAAAAATATTTGAAAAACTAAGTTCACTACTCAACAAATTATTGGTACTGAAATTTTATCTAATGAATGGAGGGATACATACATATATGTATCTATATGTATATATGTATAGATATGTATGTGTGCATATATGTATACACACAAACTAAACTATACATACACAGTATTCACAAGCTGATACGTATTAGCAATTCAGATTTAAAAAAATTTTTTTTTTTGTCGGTTGTGGGACTTGAACTCGGCTTGAACGCTGTCCCTCAGCTCTTCAGCTCAAGGCTAGAGCTCTACCACTTAAGCCACAGCACCACTTCTGCCTTTTTCTGTTTATGTGGTGCTGAGGAATTGAACCCAGGGCCTCATGCATGCAAGGCAAGCGCTCTACCACTGAGCCACCTTCCCAGCCCCCAGATTAAAATTTTTTAAAAACCTTAAAGAAATTATCACCACACCTCTATTTATAGATAAGGAAACTGAGTCTGAGAGAGACAGGTAAAAAGGATTAAGACTAAAAGTATAGATTTTTAGCTCATGTAACTGTAACCCCTCCTCTGTACAGTATTCTCACAATAAAAAAACATATTAAAAAAAAAGTATAGATTTTAAGGCTTGACTCAGAGCCTGGTCACTATCCCTTAGCTTTTTATCTCAAGACTAATGCTCTACCACGTGATCCAGTTTCCCAGTCGTTTTTTGTGTTGGTTATTTTTGAGATAGAATCTTGTTTTATGCCCAGTCTAGATGATAAGGCTCCTATATATGCTTCCTTTTGTTGCTAGGATCACAGATGAGTGCCACTGTGACCAGCCACTGTGCTACTCCGTGGCTTGGCACATATGACAGGCACATATTATCCATACTCAATCACTGGTTGGGAAGAAGTCTTAAAAACTTTCATACCTAGTTGACTGAATCTTGATGCTTTCTCTGATCTCTGCCTCCCTAATAGCTAGGTGACAGACATGCTTAAGCTAATGCATCTGGATGATATAGCTTCTTAAGAGGTATTTCAATAATCTCAAGCCTAGTTTCTAGAGTTATTTGTTACAAAGTTCAAAATATTAAAGGCTGGAGGATACTTACTCTTAGGTTTCTAATCCCATCTTGATGTTTCAGTTTTTCAAAAAAAGACTGAAAAAAATCAGATCTTTCCACATGTCTTGGAGCTACACACAGTGCATCAATGTCAGCTCCTACAAATCAAACTGTATCTCATTAAAAGAGTATTATATATTATATTTCATCAAAGTTTACTTTAAACACAAATAGAACAAAATATGAAAGGTAAGTATAAGAAAATGTTAACAATGATTAGCTCTTAATAGAAAGGTAATGATTATGAAAGATTATAGAATGATCATGATAATTATTATGAATAATTATAGAAAGATAATTATTACAGATAATGATTAGCTTTTAACAGAAAGATAATGGGGTTTTCTCCCCTATATTTTCTAATTGTGAACAACATTATGAGTTTATTGGAAATTCTAATTATTAAAAATAATAGAAAAGCAGTTACCTTTGGTGTGTACTCCCAGTCTGTAGGATCCAAATGTGAAAATTTTACCACCCACAGTGGCTACAACAGAAGGTGGAAGATTCTAAAAAAAAAGTTAGGCAAAAGTTAATTATTCAAGTTATCTTGTGTGAAAAGCACCTAATGCTAACTGAATTTTGTTACACAATTTGTGGCACACTTGTTAATCTTGATGAGATTTATAAAAGTACCTTAAGGCACTTTCAGTTGCCACTTGAAATAAAGAGGCTGTTTCTAGAGGGAAGATAAAACAAATTCATGCCCATGATACATGCCCACCTCTCTATCTTCAAGCATTTTTTAAAAAATCACTTGGTCCAACTTTTAGTCTATCTTTTGTTTTATTACCTTGCAGTGTAACTGAGGAACTCTAACTACTAAACCAGTGAGCTTTCAACTTAGTTTCTAAAACAAAACTCTCATTACTGAATTATTCTATTACACAGCTACTCTTTTCAAAACTTGACAGTTTATCCTCAACCCCATATAACAAAAGAACATACTTTATTAAAATCAAACCCATAAAAGTAAGGATTATACTTACCAGGGTTCATTAAAAAACAAACTATATGGATAGTATGAATTTGGGGGCTTACTACTGAAAAAAATCTCTTTTCTGAAGCTCAAACCACCAATTTTTCATAATCCAATTTCCTTTCCATTGCATTTTCTGTGTGTCTGCTTCAAACATTTGTTCATTCTCATTGTAGTTTATCCATTTTCCAAAATTCACTTTAAGTTCAGGCTCTTCCATCAAACCACCTCTGATTATTCTTACTTTGTAGCTCTTTTTCCTGTCCTCTTCTACCATTATAATCTTTAACTTCTTTCTTTTTCCTGTCCTCTTCTACCATTATAATCTTTAAATTCTTTTACGCTACATGTACCTACATTTTAAACTATGTTGCAGTTCTTCAACCATATTTAAATTGCTCAAAGGTAAGAAATTTATCTCCTATTACTCTCTATTTCCCTATAATACCCAACAAAAAGTTCTGCAGAATAACTGATGATTATGTGAATAAACCATGCTACTTTTGTCTAATGAATATTAATGTTTCAGGAGTAACAAATTTTATAGGCAGAAAAGAGAAAATTTACTGATGATTAACATAAACAAAAAGCAGGAGCCAGGGCCTTAAAAAAAACAACTCGTGGCTTTCATTCTATTTTGAAAGACATGATCCTTGCATGATGTATTTTAAAGTAATATGCTGAATCACAGGATATAATAATATAATAACAGGTTCGACATAATAGTTAACAAACACGATTTTTACCATGTCAGAGAGAATTGAGAGTGGTGGGGGCTATATGAGGCACAGGAGGGCATTCAAACTTCTTTCTGCTGTGCACAAAAGCAAACCTAATGTTGCCAGATCTGATTACTTCTTAAGAAGTGTGAAATCTGGCTTTGCAACTAAAATATCGTAGTATTTAACATTTTAACTTTACTACATATGGGACAAAGAAGACTTTTATATGGATTTGCAGCTATAATTGGCTATGCCTGGAGTAAATCTTTATCTATTTAGATATTAAATTGTTTGAAACAGTTTATTCCTAAATATATCAGAGAACTGAGAAGTTGTTTGTATTGGTTCAATGTTCTTTATTATAAAATTTTTATTTATTATAAAACCAACAGACAGCCATGAAATAATAGCTCAAAATAAGTAACTTAACGGAACTACAGATCCTGACAATAGGTATCAAAATCAAAATCAAGCTAGGTGCTAGTGGCTCACATTTGTAATCCTAGCTACTCAGGAATCTGAGATCTGAGGATCTCGGTATCAAGCCAGCCCAGGCAGGAAAGTCCATGAAACTCTTATCTTCAATAAACTACTCAGAAAAAGCCAAAGTGGCACTGTTGCTAAAGTGCTAAAGTGCTAACCTTGAGAAAAAGTTGTTCAGGCACAGAGCTCAGGCCCAGAATTCAAGCCCCAGTATCAGCACTGGGAAAAAATAAATAAGTAAAATAAAAAATAAATCAAAGGATTGAACCTATATGTTTCATTTGGTAACCAAGTTGTACACCCTATTATTCTGCAAAAAAGGTAAGTGCATCAAGAAAATGAATAACACCCTTTTGTAAACATGAATAAAAGCATCCCACCAAAGAAGTAAATATGAATACAGATATATATATATATATGCATGAAGTGTTACTTGATAAACACATATCCAGAGTTGAGTTTTAAGGTATTTCAGATAATCCTCCATTCTTTTTTTTTGGTCAGTAGTGAGGCCTGAACTCTGGGCCTGGGCACTGTCCCTGAGCTCTTCAGCTCAAGGCTAGCACTCTACCACTTGAACCACAGCACCACTTCTGGCTTTTTCTATGTATGTGGTGCTGAGGAATTGAATCCAGGGCCTCATGCATGCAACGCAAGCACTCTACCACTGAGCCATCTTCCCAGCCCCAATCCTCCATTCTTGTAACTTGTTGCTTAGATGAATACAAGAAAACACAGAATTTCATGTAGTTCAGTCTTACCTTACTCTCACTGACATCAGAAATCCATTCTTTTACTAAGTTATTCAATTTACCAAGAACAACAAGCCTGTAATTAAAAAAAAAAGTAAAACTTTAGATTTAAACTTAAACATGCAGACAGTACCTTTATATTGGTGCTGGGATAAAAGCATATTATATATGTGCTAATGATATCCCATCTGTTGATACACAACAACATCTTTGACATCCTCTGGCACCTTAAGAGTGTAGAGGATGGTAAACAAGATGATACTACTATGATCTTAAAGCTATTTTCACAACTTAAGAAATTTAATACAAGTTACAATACATGAAGTTACTTTCAATGGGACTGTAAATGCCAAGTGAATTGTCAACTTTTTTACTACACAATTTTTTCATTTCAATGTGGTGTTAAGGCTAGCATTTTCTTATTGATAGTCATAGGTTTTTGGATAATTAAAATGGGTAAATTATTGGTTAATTTTTTATTAAATATTACTTAACTAGTTCAGAATTCTGTATTATTACAACATATTGCAATTCATTGTATAAAGAATCACATTAAAAACAAACAACAACGATGATGATGATGATGATGATGATGAAAATGATGATGACGAAACCCAGCTGGGTGCTGGTGGCTCATGCCTGTAATGTCAGAAGACTGAGATCTGAGGATTACAGTACAAAACCAACTGGGGCAGGAAAGTCCATTGAGACTCCAATCTCCAATTTACCACTAAAAAGCTTAAAGTGGAACTTAGGCAAAAATGGTAGCATGCCAGCTTTGAGCAAGAAAAAGCTCAGCCTCAGTGCCCAGGTTCTGAGTTCAAGCCCCGTACCCACACAAACAAGAAAGAAAAAAAATATGGGTTAGGTAGCTCAAGAACAGCATGCACAATTGAACTTCTTTCTAAACTTAGTTCTCTTCCATCTTTCCCAGAAAATGCAATTCCATCTTTCAAAAGTGATGTGATTAAATGCTTAATATCACCTTCCCCAATATTTTTTTCTTACATTTCTAGAAAGAAACACACTACCTCTAAAACATACCTAGATCATACCTTCTGAACAACCCTACCATTAAAACATTATCTGGAATTTACTACCACTTATCACCTTCATTGCTTTTCTCCAGGTTCCAGACACTATCATTTCCTCCTTGGGTCATTATAGTGGTTTTTCTTACAGACTATTCCCAATACAGGAGCCACAGTTACTATGTTAAAACATAAGTCAGATCTTGTCAATCTTTTATTCAAACCCCTAATAACTACTTTTTTTCCAAAACTTCTATGATGCCTTACAAAGTCCTAAGTGCCCTTGTCCTCTAAGCTCCTTCTGACCTCACTAAGCCCACATTGCCCTCACTTGCTCTGCTTCAGATAACCAAGATATCTTCCTATATACTCAATCATACCAATTACACTCTCCCTCAGGCTTACGGAACAGAAAATTCTTTAAATATCCACACAATTCCATCACTCACCTTAAATGTCTCTTTTGGGTGTGTGTGTGTGTGTTTCAGTACAAGGGTTTGAAATCAGAGCCTCATATTTGCTAGGCAGGTCCACTACTGCTAAGCCATGCCTCCTACCATTTTTGTACAGCTAAGGATCTGGACTGAGATATTTCTATTTTAGAATTCCATTGTCCTCAGGATGACAGGCATACAACAACATGCCTTCCATTGAGATGAAGTCTTGCAGACTTTTCTGCCTGGGCTGGCCTGGAATCCCCCACTCCCTCTAGCTTAGCATGACAGACATATACCATCATTGCCCAACTATAGATTGAAGTCTTGTGAATTTTTATGTTCAGGCCATTCTCAAACTGATTCTTCTACTCTCAGTCTCCCAAATTGCAAGGATTATAATCCTAACTAGTATGAGCCACTGGTGCCCAGCAAATGTCATTTTCTTTTCTTTTTCCTTTTTGATTCAGGGCCTGGGTGTTGTTCCTGAGCTTTTAAACTCAAGGCCAGCACTCTACTACTTGAATCACAGCTCCACTTCCAGCTTTTTGCTGGTTAATTGGAGGCAAGAATCTCACTTTTCTGCCTAGACTGGCTTCGAACTGCCATCCTTGATCTCAGCCTGCTGAGTAGCTAGGATTATAGGTGTAAACCCCTGGTACCCAACTAAATGTTATTTTTGTATGAGACCTTTTTTGAAGAACTTTTTGTCACTGCTGCAGTCTAGACAGGGACATAGTGAGTTCTCAATACACACACATACACACACACACACACACATGCATGCGCGTGTGTATGTTGAATTAATGTTCAATAGTTGACAGTTTTCAATGACTTACCTGTGGTTCAATTCTTCCTCATCTTCAAATACTCCAAATGGTTTCATGGCATCAATTAATTTCTGTGTGTAAATATGGTCAATTTCTTTAGGACATGCCAAACTTATTGGAGAAGTTATTCCATAATGCTTTTGTTGACGCTGGCTGTCCAGCATGGTATTTCTGTCCAAGAAAAAGAGAACAGAAAAAAAAAAGTATTATATCATACTAATGTATTGCTCTCTCATTCTATTCATTTTATCTGAACTACCTTTGTTGTATTAACAGTCAAGACAGGCACTTCAAAAAAAAAGAAAACTAAGTATTTTGTATCTATGTTTATGAAGAGGTATTCATCTTATCTCTAGTTTTCATGTTTAGGATGTCTTTTCAAGCCCAAAGCAGCATATGTTGGCATCAAGATAACTGTACCAATACTACTCAATACTAGTCATTCAAAAGCACTAACACTACTCAGTTCAAATGTGCAGAGCCTGAATGGGATTTGTGACAGGGTAACCCCAGTATACCCTGCAGACTTAAGATGTTAAAATCTTTGGAAAGCAGTTAAAAACCTGAACAAAACTTATGTAAAAACAATGCTTTCGTTTCTCCCAAAAAAGGAACAAACATCCATCAAAAAGCCCTTGTGATATAATCTGGCTTTTAAAAAGTAAACACAAGCTGGGCGCTGGTGGCTCACGCCTGTAATCCTAGCTACTCAGGAGGCTGAGATCTGAGGATCGTGGTTCAAAGCCAATAAACCACCAGAAAACCGGAAGTGGCGCTGTAGCTCAAGTGGTAGAGTGCTCGCCTTGAGCTGAAGAGCTGAGGACAGCGCCCAGGCCCAGAGTTCAAGCCCCACGACCGACAAAAAAAAAAAAAAAAAGTAAACACAAACTAGATTATGTCTTTGGGAAACCTACATTAACACCTTTTGTTTGAGTAGAATGTCTAGTCCTATTTCTTTTTGCTGGTCTGGGACTTAGACTCTGTCCCCAAGCTTTTTTGTGCTCAAGACTAGTGCTCTACCATTTAAGCTCCACTTCCTACTTTTGTGTGTGTGGTTAGCTGGAGATATCAGTCTCCTGGACCTTTCTGCCCAGGCTAGATTCAAATTATGATCCTCCTGAGTAGCTAGAATTACAGGTGTGAGCCACTGGCATCCCGTTAGTCCTAATATTTTGTGGTTCTACTTACTTGTTCTCTTCATTTTAGACCTATACTCATACATAATTTTCAAAATGAATTACATTTTTTAAACTCTAAATGGCAACCTTTTACAGGATACAAGTGACCTACCTGCTACAGTCCCTAGACAGCAGAGTCTTGAATAATGTGCAACAAAATTTCTGAGCCTTGGGGTTTATATAGATAATCATTTCAAAGTAAATTTTGGGAACAAGATCTGGTTAAATTTTATTTTGCTATGCAAGTACAGTTAAAACAAGCATATACACTAACCTATAAACTCTACTATATATCTTAGTAATGCTTTTATGAAGGGCCTTTAACACCAGCAGTATTAAGATACTGAAATGTAGTCTTTTAACTTGAATAAATTAGCCTTATTTTTAAAAAGTGCAGAGAGATGAAGACAGGAAGGTTAAAAGGCCAGGCATGGCAGTCATGCCCATAATCTCAGCCACTTAGGAGGTTGATGTTAAGAGAATCCAGAGGGTCAAGGGTAGCCTGGGTTACACAGTGAGATCCTATCTCATTTGAAAACAAACAAGTTAATTGGTGAAGGGGTGATGTTGGAGGACTAACTTGTATTTTATTCTACAGCAGTCTAACTGTAATTGTCAAAAATTGTGTACTTCAAAATAGTGAAGACGCTGAGTGTTCCCAACAAATGTCTGAGGTTTTGTTTTTATTTTTTTTTGGGGGGGGCAGTCATGGGGCTTGAACTCTGGGCCTGGACATTGTCCCTCAGCTCTTTAGCTCAAGGCTAGCACTCTACCACTTCAGCCACAGCACCACTTCACTTCTGGTTTTCTGAGTGGTTTATTGGAGATAAAGAGTTTCATGGACTTTCCTGCCCAGGCTGGCTTTGAATGGTGATCCTCAGATCTCAGCCTCCTGAGTAGCTAGGATTACAGGTATGAGCCACCAGTGCCAGACTGAGATTTTTAACTTGTCAAAAGCATTGGGAGCTGAGGATAGCATTCAGTGGCATATGGTTTGCCTAGCATGTTTCTTTTTTGTTGCTTTTTTGTCTTTGTTGTTGTTGTAGTTGGTCATGGGAGCTGAACTCTGGGCCTGAGTGTTGTCCCTCAGCTCTTCAGCTCAAGGCTAGCACCCTACCACTTGAGCCACAGTGCCACTTCTGGCCTGTTTCTGCTTATGTGGTAACCCAGGTCTTCATGCATGTGAGGCAAGCACTCTACCACTAAGCCAACTTCCCGGCCCCACATTTTTGATTCTTAGTACCAAAAACCCTTAAATCTCACACTAGCTTATGCATTACTAAGTTCACAAACTAAGACATTTTAGTTAATCATTAGGTAAGGACAGAGACTCAAAGAGAAGATAAAATAACCTTATGTCTTCTAAAATGATTCAAAAAAACAAAAGGAGAAAGAGTATCAGGAATAGTTATTTTCTCTCCAATATTTATTTTGCTGTGGAACAAACAAAACTTCAATTAGTCATTTTAAGTTGTATTTTTCTTAAAGATGTGGCTTTACGCTGTATGGTATTTTCCCACACACAAACACACACACACACACCAAGATAAAAAAAGAAAAAGATGTGGCTTTACACTCCTGAGTATTGTTTGTCCATATACATGTCCATACATGATATAAAATCATTCGATTACATAAAAATCTCAAAAAAAAAAGCCCAATGAGAGATAAATTCTCAAGTGCTAGTTATGCTACAGGTAAGAACCTGAGAAAAAGCCCAATTTGGAACTCTAAAACCTCTTCCCACTAGTCCAACTATTTCAGTTCTGACAAGCCTTGTCTCAATTTCTTCTCTATATGCTCAGAAAGTTGGCTATCTGTAAGTCCTTGCTGGTCCTCAAATCTAGGGTTCTGAACATTATCATCTACTTGGGGCGGAGGGGGAGCAAACAACATATCCCCCATCCCTTCAACCCACCAATTTCACTAATAGAGAAAATCTATCGAGTAGTCCTATAAAAGAATGTTCACTGTCAAGTGCTAAAACTAAACATTTTGAAGTAAATAAATAAATAAGATAGTCATGTAACAACCACCCGGCCCCTGTGGACCCGGCTACTAGAGGGGGCGAGGCACCAAGCCCCACACGGTGAGCTGTCATGAAGTGATTGGACAGTGGACAGCTTGGGGGAGGGGCATGAATGGCGGTTGAAAACCGTTAGGCAGTTGATCCGTTAGAGTGGGGGAAGGGCACAGCTTATATATAGGGGAGTGAGTAGAGAGGGGGTGGTGGTAGAGAGAGAGACAGCAGGAGGGGAAAGTCAGGAGCAGAGCAGGGCAGGTCTATGGTGAGGTCTCTAGAGAAGCCTGTGGAGAGGCACCTACCGGAGCACAGCAGGGAAGGCCTGTGGAAAGGCCTGCAGAGGAAGAGGAAGGAAAGAAAAGGAAAACCCTTCCTCTTTGGAGGTTTGGAGCTTTGGAGGTCTGAGGTTTGGAGGTTTGCAGACTAACTAATAAAGGTCGGGGCTGTCCATTAGAGGCTTGGAGGTTTGGTAGTTGAGGCTGCTTTTGGTTCTGGGTATCTAGCCCAGGACAAGGTAGTCACAGGTCCCCTTTCTGGTGTAGGGTGAATAAATTTGTTATCTTTAACCGTGCCTCGATGGATTGTCTCATTCTTTGGAGGTCATAATTGTCACTAATAGTTAAGCTACTATATTAGAGTGTATATCTACAATGGGATACAACATATTAGTTAATATGAATTATATTTGAAAACATCTCCATGGACATAGCTGAGAGATCTATGTTGTCTCTGCTAGCTTGCATGTAATACTAGATATGCAAGAGTCTGAGATCTGAGGATCATGGTTGGAATCCCAGCCCCAGCAGGAAAGTCCATTAAGACTCATCCAATTTACCACCAAAAGCTGGTAGTGTAACTGTTGCTCAAGTGGTATAGCACCAGCCTTGAATGAAAAAGCTTAGGGACAGCGCCGAGGCCCTGAATTCAACTCCCAATACTGGGGTGTGCGCGCGTGCGCGCGCACACACACACACACACACGCGCCCATACAATTTAGGAATAAGTGATTACGACTTAGAGAAAGTTTAAAAACAAGCACACAGATGACAGTTGTGGACAGAGGCACATATGATAGCCTAAAACACCCACAGCAACAATACAAATCAAATTCAGGGCTGTGGGGACCTCTGGATTGGGCTAATGAATGAGACCACAGGAGAGAGATGTATTTGGAACACGGACACCACGTTATCCTTGGGCAGAAATGGGTGGTGGCTACACAAACGGCAATATCTGTCATTCTCCGCATTTTTCTGTAGGTTTAAATGATTTCTTAATAATACACCGGAACGCTGGGCTCCCACAAATTCTCAGCGAGCACGGAAACTGTTCCTGACTTATCCAAGTGGGGGGGGGTAGGGAG